ACTGCCAGCCATGGCTGGTTTATGCGGTTTCAGCAAAGATTTCATTACCAGAAAGCACACATATCAGGCAAAGCTGCAAGGGTTGACGAAGAAGCTGTCAAACATTTTCTGGATGAACTTGATGATATCATAGCGGAGGGGAACTATTTCCCTGAACAGATATTCAGCGTGGATGAAACTGGGTTATACTGGAAAAGAATGCCAGAGCGGACATACATACACAGAGAGGCCCAAGCAACACCTGGATGTAAAGCCTTTAAGGATAGAGTAACCTTACTGTTGGGTGGAAATGTCGCCAGATTCAAGCTGAAGCCATTTCTGATCCACAAATCAGGCGACCCCTGGGAGTTCAAAAACATAAGTGAGCACACACTGCCCGTTTATTACCGATCTAATCGCAAGGCCTGGATGACACACGTCCTCTTTGAGGATTGGTTTATGAATTGTTTCATACCCCAAGTAAAAGAATATTGCTGTCAAAAAGGAATTCCTTTTAAAATTCTCCTGCTCCTGGACAACGCCCCTGGACATCCCCTGCATCTTGACAGTCTCCATCCGGATGTAAAGGTAGTTTATCTACCCCAAAGCACCACCCTTCTCCTTCAGCCTATGGACCAGGGAGCTATCTCAGCATTCAAGGCATACTATTTGCATGCAACATTTGCCAAAGCGATAGCCGCAATGGAGGATGATAGGATAACCTTGCGCGAGTTTTGGAAAGGCTACAATATCCTCCATTGTATTGAAAATGTTGCAGCCGCATGGCAGGATGTTAGTGTGAAATGCATGCAAGGGATTTGGAAAAAGCGTTTAAAACATTTTGGTGTTGTAAATAATTTTGAAGGATTGGACCGAAAAAATAATTTGGATGAAATAAATAAGAAAACTTTGACACTAATGAAATCCCTTGATTTAGAGGTTGATGCTGAAGATCTGAGAAATTTGATATCCTACACTGAGGGAGAGCTTTCAAACCAAGATTTAATCGAACTAAAAGAAGAATTAGAAGCACAACGAGTACTGGAAGAACAAGAAAAAGAACAAGAACAAGGAAAAGAAAAAGAAAAAGAAAAAGAAAAAAAAGAAGAAAAAAAGATTGTAGAAGTTAAGCCCAAAACATTCAGTGTGAAAAGACTGGCTGGTGTTTTCTCGGGCA